TAAGCGGGGATTGAACCCAGGACTTCATGCTTGCTAGGCGAGCATCCTACCACTTGCAGCAGACCAATACCCCCAGCTCTTTTTACTTTTCTGTTTTGGTTTTTTGCCAGTCCTGGGGCATGAACTCAAGGCCTGAGCACTGTCCCTGAGCCTCTTTGTGCTCAAAGCTAGCACTCTACCACTTGAGCCACAGCACCACTTATGCCTTATTAGTTTATTGGAGTTGTCTCATGGGGACTTTTCTCCCCAGGCTGGCTTCGAACTGCAATCCTAATCTCAGCCTCCTGAGCAGCTAGGATAACAAGTGTGAACCACCAATGCCTGACTCCAACATATTGGGTAGCCTGTTCTGTTTTGGAGTTTGGGTTTTTGTGTGTATGTGGTGATGCTGGAATTTGAACTTAGGGCCTGGCTGTTATTAAGCTGTTGTGCTCAAGGCTAGTGCTTTACCACTTGAGCCATAGCTGCACTTCCTGCTTTTACTTTATGAAATACGGTCTTGCTAATTTTGACTGGACTGGCCTGTCCTCAAATTTACAATCGCTGGGGCTGGGAAGGTGGCTCCGTGGTAGAGTGCTTACCTTGCATTCATTGAGGTCCTGGGCTCCATTCCTCAGCACCACATTGTTAGGTTTTTAAAAAGAGGTAGCTGAGTAAGAACAGCACCACCCACATGGTATTCAGGTAAGGGGTAGGTTTATTCAGTAGACCTGCTGGGACCAGGCCAGGTTGGCACTCCACAGGGCTGGGAAAGGCCTGGGAAAGACCTGAGAAAGAGAGAGCTGGGAAAAAGAGCTAAGAGAGCTGGGAAAGAGCTGAGAAGGAAAGAGCTGAGAGAGCGTCTGGGCCTGGGCTAGGCCTTATCTAGGGTATGGGCGGAGAAAGGTGTAGCCACATCCAATTCAGCTGTGACCTCAGCGGATGCAGATGTGACCTCTTCCAGGTGTGCCAGTTACCTAGGTAACGCAGGTACTGGGTGGAGACTTTGCTCTGAGGAGGGTGGAGTCTGCTGTCATCCAGGATTAGACCTTATGCACATAAGCAGAAAAAAGCCGGAAGTGGCATTGTGGCTCAAGTGGTAGAACGTTAGCCAAGAGCTGAGGGCCAATGCCCAGGCCCAGAATTCAGGCCCCACGACTGACCTCCCCACACACACACAAAAAACTCACAATCACCCTGCCTCCACTCCCAAGCAGCTAAGACTTGAGGCGTGAGGGGCCATGTTTGGCAAATTATTGCCTGCCTTTATACAAAACAATTCTATTAAGTAGACATTTCATAATTTTCCTTTTTTTCTGTTTAACTGGGGCGGGGGAGGTAGGAGAAGGGGTTCTACCTACAGATGTTCCAATTCTAGCTTCTGCGTATCTTTGACAGCTGTCTTGATCATGCATTTTGTTGAAAAGGTTCAAATTCAGCCAAAATGCCAACTGGTGGAAAAGTAAAGAGGATCAAAAGATGTTATACACACATATATAAACATGGAATAGGCAGCATAATGTAACCCACCAGACAAGGTTTGAAAAAGGAGGAAGGGAGGAGATAAGGGAGGAGTGGTAACATAATGAATGTATCCAAAGTATACTATAGTACACATGTATGACATGCATGCTGACTCAAAAATATTAAAAGGTATGTGTCACCAATTTAATATATGTACACATTTTAGATATTAACTTATAAATATATATTTATAAATATATAGACTAGGACCAACTAAACATTGATGAAGAAAAAGATACAAAACAGAAAGATAAGCCAGGCACTGGCGGTTCATGCCTGTAATCCTAGCTACTCAGGAGGCTGAGATCTGAGGATCACAATTCAAAGCCAGCCTGGGCAGGAAAGTCCATGAGATTCTTATCTCTAATTAACCACCAGAAACCCAAAAGTGGCGCTGTGGCACAAGTGGTAGGGCACTCGCCTTGAGCTGAAGGGTTTAAGGACAGTGCCAGGCCCAGAGTTAAAGACCATGACCCAAAAACGGAAGAACAAAAAAGGTATCCTATATTTGTGAATTGGAATGATTAATATTATAAAAATGACCCTACTCCCCAAATTGATTTAGGGATCTATCTAATGGCATCCTTTCCATTCCAATGATAGTTTTTTAATCCTAAAATTCAAACAAAACCATGAGGCTCCAAAAAGCAAAAGAAAACAGGTCTTGAGCAAGATCTATCTACATGAGAGCATCAAATTTTCCAAATTCAAATATCACAAAGCTACAATAACTGTAACAGTAATGTACTGGAATCCAGGTAGTAGATCAATAACATAAAACAGAAAGCTCACCAACAACCATTTTTTACAAACATCCAAGTACAGAGAAGATCCCTTGTTAATAAATAGTAATGACAAAACTAGATATCCACGTACAGAAGAATACAATTGGACCACTATCTCCATGAGGCAATAAGATCATAAATGGTTAGAGAACACAGGGAAAATATCATGACACAGGCCTTCGCCATTTTTTTGGAGTTTACCTAAAGGAGAGTCAACATAAGCAAAAAGAATCACATAGGAAAACAAACTGATAGCCAGGCACCAGTGGCTCATACCTGTAATCCTAGGTAAGAAAGCTGATATCTGAGGATCGTGCTTCAAAGCAGGAAAGTCCCGGTGAGACTATTAGCTCCAATTAACCACTCAAAATCCAGAAGTGGTGCCATGGCTCCAAGTGGTGAAGTGCTAGCCTTGAGAAAAAAGAGCTCAGGGACAGTTCCCAGGCTGAGTTCAAGCCCCAAAACTGACAAAAATACAACAAAAAGGGCTGGGAAAGGTAGCTCAGTGGTAGAGCACTTGCCTTGCATGCCTGAGGCCCTGGGTTCGATTCCTCAGTACCACATAAGCAAAAAGAAAAAAGCCA